TAGCATACGAATATGAATGTCGTGGGGCCCCAGCTGCCGATGATCGCAAGCTGAGAGTTTTTGCCTCCAGTTCTTGAAGTTAAAAGGCACATTATACTGTTCTTCTCTGAGAGAAGAAAGTCAGGGTGCTAACTCTCTGGCAGACTTTGAGGAAAGAAATGAGGGCATAGATGGAGTCCCTGAGAAATACGACCAGATGATTGCCAATTTCATTGGCAACATCTAGTGGGGTTTTCTATAAACAACACCGGGAACCCGCAGAACAGGAGCCGGGTCAGGAGAATATTTACCACTCAGTTTTCGTACTTTTTTCCAGACTGCACTCATAGAGGAAGCAGAGGTGATGGGGGAGACAATCTCGCCAGCAAGTGCGTTTAGCCCTCACGGATGACATGGCGACGATCGCACGCTTCTGTTTAAAATCAAGGGGTCTCTCTGTGGTTCTATTGTACCGGTACCCGCCCCATGCAGCGCGTTTCAAATGTACTGCACGAGCACAAGCAGGAGACCACCAAGGCACGCATTTCTGAGAATGCCTGCCCGAATTTGGGGTATAGAATGAGAAGCTGCGGTAAAACGGAGGACGAGAAGAGTGTAAAAGCCATCGATGGAGGATGAAGAAGGAACCCTCTAAAAACATTTAAAGTGTGAGTAAAGGTTCCAATTTGCCCGATCAAAATTGCCAGCGGGGATGCGAAGAGGTGTGAATATAAGGGGAAGTAAGAAATGATTGGGAAATGATTGCTATTATGTAAGCCCCGGGAAAAAACAACCAAGTGAAGTCTAATGCGGTGGAGGAAGAGCAACTGAGAGATCGATGCAAGAGAGAGTACGAGTCCGAGGATCAAAATGGGTGTGCGTACCAGTATTTAAAACAGGAGGGGTGGGGCAAGAAAAAGCCTCTAACTGAATTCCACGGAATCACAGTGAGCCCCCCCCCCAGAGGAAATGGTGGCATTAAAATCACCAAGTAACAGAAAATTTGGGGGCGGTAATGACGAAACAAGAAAGGCAATATCCGGGAATAGATAATGCCCGAGAAGGAGAGAGATATAAAGAACAAGCGTATACCACCTATGCAAGTGGATACGGGCTGCTGTGTAATGCGCGAAGTATGAACAAATAGCTGATGGTAACGGAATACAGTGCTAGAAGAAGGGCACTTTCATTAAAGGTCCCATCAGGAAAAGGATCTGAAGAATACAATAAATTATAGCCTGAATGGGAAGATAACACAGAGGTGTAATTTTGGTTCCTGTTAAGCAAACACCAAACAGGGGCAAACTGGAGATAACATCTTGAAAGCTCACTCCGATTACCCTGAGCCGCGTATATTCCACGAAATAGGCATGATTGGCAATGAATAAAGATACTTGAAAATCCGCAGGTAAGGTTCCTACGGACTAGAGGGGTTAAAAAGTCACATGGAGGCGTGGAAAAACGTTAAGCAGCGAAGGAACGGGCTGTGAAAAAGGATGTGCAGATGGAGAGAGGAGAAGAAAAAAAAAGAGGTGATCATGTCCATTGATGGTTTTGTCTCTGCAAATATTCAGAATGCTTCAAGTGTTTCGGAATTCAGAGACGTCATATGAGAGACAATATTGGAAATGGTAGGGGGAAAGGATGAGTAAAGATTGGAACTGTTTTGGCTGTACCAAGGTAGGGGGGGGGGGGCGAAAAGGGTGGAGGGAACTGGAGAAGCGTGGAAGGGGACAGAAGAGGCAGAAACCTGGGAGGTGGCAGAAGAGGAAGAAACCTGGGGGGGAAAACAGGGGGGGAAGGTACAGTACGAGGAGGAGGGTGAACCCCTCTACACTTGCAACAGAGCCAGTAGAGGGGGAGAACCAGGACAGAGACAGGGAGGGTAAAATGAGGAGGTGGAAGATGGGTAGGAGGTGTTAAGGGCCCTTTTTTTTTGATTTTTGAGAAGAAGAGGGACGATTGGGAGGAGGTGTCATACGAGATCTCGTCGTACTGAGGCTTGTGGAGAGAGAACCGAAGAAGCGAGATCAGACTGAGGCGTTGAAGTAGGGACGTCTGAGCCGAGGACGCGAAAGGATTAGATACAGGAGTGACTATGGGAGAGTAACCACAGAGGTGGGTGTAGAAGATGGGATATCAGAAGTGGGGGGACGTTTTGAAACACGGGAATAAGAACACGTGGGAGTCTCCCTTGGAGGCGGAGATGAAAATTGCCAAGGCATAAGGGAGACCTTCTGTCTCTTTGAGGTACGGATTTCCCCTCGTTTAAATAGACTTGACAACGGCAGAATACGAAGGGTGAGCCTCATGACAGTTAAGGCAAGAGGAGATCGATTGCAAGATGTAGAGAATGGTCATCGGCACCAAGACTGGGCATTCGGCGATAGATCTGCAATATTTCGCTGGAGGCCAAATCGCCAGCAATTTCTACACTGTTGTGTTGTAGGGATCACCTTTCGGACTTGTAAACCGATGTCCTGCAATATAACTGGGGATGGGAGTTCTCGGCTGTCAAAATTAAACGAGCCACATTGCTAGGGTATCTCTCCGCCCCCGGCAGGAAGAACGTAATTGTCTACCTTGAGGATTGGAGATCTTGGAGTTCCAGCTGTTCAAGAATGTCAGTGCCACATGTCTGGAAAATTTTGTTGAACTATGGTATGGGGCAGAATGACGGTACCATACAAGAATTGAGGAATGAGTTTTTCAAGAGTGACAGGAACAGTACTGATTGGAAAGACGGAGAGCTCATGAGCCTGGTAGCATTCTGTACGGTGATGATGCGCGTACCGCTCTTAAGAGCATGAAAAGAAATATCTTTACCAACATGGCGTAGGAGTGCCTTGCCAATACTGTGGTCAGAAAGATAGGCAGAAGAGGGGAAATCGGGCGTAAAGTGAAGAATTTAGTCCCCTTGTTCAGTCTGAAACTGAGCGTGGAAAGGTAGTGAAGGACGTGTCGATCGTTTCTGAGAAGAACGAGAAGGTGGAGAAGTATCATCAGCAGGGAATTGTCGTTGCATTTAGGCGTGGGACCAGAGTTGGTCCGACGTGGAACGGGTCGGCGATTTGAAAATTGCCGCACCGTAGAGGGAGAGGCCGGAAGCATAGTCAAGGAGAGCGAAGGTCCGATAATCGAAGGAGTCAGTCGAGGGCCTCAGTAAACCCGAAGCGGGTGAGGAAACAGCACCCGGGAAGAGGTACAGAGGCATGAGGAGTGTCTGAAGAGTGGTCCAAAGACGAGGCGGGTCAGAAAAGGGGTGCGGTATCAAGAAGGGGCCCGGGGTAGGAGGGTTTATGGACTAGGGCTGCCATATTAGGTTACTTCTTTTTTTTTGTTTTTAGAAAAAAAAAAAGAAGAGAAAAGAAAATAAAAATAAAAAAAAGAATAAAAAAAAAAGGGGGACCGGGAGGGATAGTTCCTAGGGAATGAAAGGACCAGAAATCTCCCTCCGCGCCCAAGAGGACTTCAGCACCGCAAAATAGCGCAGATGCAGCATGGAACCCGTGCCCTACCCTACCCATCATGCTAGTAACCCAAAAAATCCGGGATAGCAACCTCACATCTGCGAGCTACCTCGGTGGACCAAAAGAGAGGGCGGCCGGGTATTCCGCCACAAAAACATACCTCCTTCGGCCACCACCCCGGAATCCGAAAGGTGGCTTCCAGAGATACACCCGTCGCCCAAAGACACCCAAGCTACTCCGGATACCAGAGAGGGATCGGGACATCCCCAGGCGATCCAGATTCCACGGCAAACTACGCCACCGCCAGGAACCTCAACGGAATGGGATGGACCCCGGTATCCTTTCCCCTACCTAGGAACTAGCGCGCCTGTGGGAGAAATCCCAAAGGCCGAAAAGAGGAAGGGCAAAAGGGAGGGGTGGGGAGGAGGAGGAGGAAAGGAAAAAGGGGAGGATGGGGAGGATGGGATAGGGGAGGGGAGATTGGGGGGTAATTAGGTTCGGTCTGAGGAAGAAGACTGACAGGTCTAATTCCTCAGACCAAGAGCCTCTTCACCACGCCAAGGAGCCCCCCTTGAAGAGGATATAATAAACATGATACATAACATATAAAGATGATAAATACACCCCACAATAGAATAAATGAACATAAATATGAGATGTGGTAACTAGATAGCTTGTACAAGTGACAGCAAGAACAACATTTTCCCTAATCCAACATAAGAGAAAATGTGTTCCTCGGGGTAACTGTAGAAAATTATTCCTTTCGTATGTAAGTTTATTCAGGTATACACAAATACAGTTACATAGATTATCATACATAACAGCATATGTGTAGAGAACCCAGGATAACCCAAAAAAGTAAGTGACTTATTTCCATTGCCTTCACTCAGAGCGTCATTTCTTCTCAAAATGATGTTACATGAGAAAGGGAGTGTTCTTCTTTATTTATTCTACTGTATCAATGTAGACACAACTTGTACACAATGTAACTTGTACACAAATCAGATGTGTACACTTTGTTTACAAAACTTACCTTCGCCTGGTTTGTTTACATAACTCGGTGCCTGTCCTCCCTCATGCACTCACTCTCTCTCTCTCATTTATTCATTTTATCTCATTTACTTACTCCTGACCCTACATTAAGACAAATATTTTAAGGTAAGTAATGAGTGAACTGTATATACATTTTATCACTCTGGGATGCTTAAATATCATAGAATAGTATGTGGGTGGGTGGGTTGGCCTGGTATGGTAGCCCAGCTGGCTACCATACATACTACACTTGATTTCTTACAATAAATACTACTTGTCTCACCCTAGATTAAGACTAAATATTTTAAGGTAAGTAATGAGTGCGCTATGTGTGTATTGTACTTTTTTATTGTTTTTTGATACCTAGTTCTACTGCTAACATAATATATGTTAGTGTAAGCTTGTTATCTAGTATTTGTATGCATTTATAAGTGGAAAAAAAAAAAAAAAAAAAAAAAAAAAAAGGGGTGTTCCACTTTACGGCAATTTCCGCTTTATGACGGTAGCCTGGAACCTAACCAGCCGTATAAGTGGGGCCCTACTGTATATGGTGAAATTAGGGTTAAATTCATAATACCTCTAAGAAATTAATTTTTTTCTTAAATTATTTGGTTAAAAATAACTTAAGTTTTGACACCATACACTGCAGCTATCACTGCTACTTGATTTAGAAATGCATGCTACATACTTAACCCTTTCAGGGTCGAGACCCCCGATCCTGAACTTGTTCTCAGGGTTGAAAGATAAAAAAAAAAAATTTCTTATGAAATGATAGAGAATCTTTTCCCAACGGTAATGACACCAAAAGTACGAAACTTGATGGAAAACTCATGAAATTACACTTTCGTGAAGTTAGCGATATCGGCGATATTTACGCATCGGCGATTTTGCTCACTTTGAGCCCTATTTTCAGTCAATTTCATTGTTCCAGTCAACTAAAATCATAGATATTTCGCTAGAACTACATTTGTTCTATCGATTGATTGCAAGAAACCACCCATTTACTGATTTCAACTACCCAACAAAGTGGTCAGAAATTGGCAATTTGGTCAATTTCACACAAATTTCAAAAGATGCCAATTTCAAAATAGGGTCCAGAATAAACAAGGCAGACATTCCTGGCACTAAAATAACATTTTCTCTGTTCATTAGTCATGTCTCCAGGCCCCCTTTATATTACTCTTGCTTTCCATTTTGAATTTTTATTCACACAAAAAATAGAAGATTTACTGTTATGCAGACTACTGCATTATTGTAAAAATGGTATAAATATTATCAGTGCACTTGTGAAAGAATATTAGACTCACCAGTTGATGTGTATTGGACGCATGACATGATTTGTTTACTCTTGAACATCGGAAAAAAATCGAACATTTCTGCTACTTTGAGCTCAATTTCAAGGTACTTTTCATCATGAAACCAATCAAAATCATCTCTATTTCTGTAATATATCTTCCATTCTATCAAATGAGGCCAAGAAAATGAGAATACAACCGTAAATGCTATACAAAAATACACTGCAAAGTTGCTGTTTTAAACCAAAAACATTGTTGGAGTTTTTTCTCTCATTATGCACTGTGTGCTGCATTATTTTCTTATACTGTGCACACTGACCATGTAGACCCATTCTTTCATGTGTAGGCCTACCAGCTTTCTTCCGCTCAATCTGAAGGCACTAGAATTTTGACGTATAAGTATGGCACCAACCCTTAAAGGGATAAGGGCCTACATATAAATTTACCAAATCAATTTTCTTAAAATAGGACTCAAAGTGGGCAAAATTGTTTATGCATAAATTGTGCCAAGACCTTTAACTTTGCACCTGCATAATCCCACAAGTTTTCCATCAAAATTGAAATTTTTGGTGTTATTAACTTCAGGAGATTCTTTACCATTAAAGATTTTTTCTTTTAAATGTGGACACTGTTAGCATTTTTTACTTTAGGGGTCTGGAGAGTGAAGAGGTTCACCTATAACAATTCAGATTACCAAAGGATTTTGTTCACAGATGAATTGCGAGAATTCTTCTACTCACAGGGTGTGGCCTTCGGCCAGGCTAAAGACCGAGGAATATTAATTAGTAACTTTGTGGCATTCATATTCAGTCTCACACTAACTTCCTGTCCTTATTTTTCTGCCCCTGCTTTACTTGAAATTTCATGATGTATAGTTCTGAATAATGCACAATGGTTTGTGCATCTGTCGCTTCACTTGAAATGCTGAATGGCTGCTGTGTAGATATAATTCCCAGGTACACTGTTCCCTGAATTATTACAAGATGGGGAAGGAATGAAAATCAGAACTCTGATTGGCTAACTGATACACCATACCAGCATGTTACAGAATGCCTTAGGCTTACAACAGAGGTTTGAAACCTCAACATAAATGTAAAAATTAAAATTTTCAGAAATGTCAAAATATTTGTGTGAAATCTTGTCTTAATTATTACAAGCATAATGAAGCAGCTAAGGGTTTGTTAAACAGAGGCATGAATTATAGTTGGTCATTAGACTTATTTCCTCACTTTCCAGTGAGACTGCTGATATTAATCAGATCTGTTCTGAGAGGGTGATCATAATTTAAAAGCAAATGATAAAGTGTCACATTAATTATTCAAAGAATTTGGGAAGAAAGGATGTGAGCAAACGTTAATGGATGGACTACATAATACATGCAGAGTACAAATAAACAGTATGCAAAAGCCTTTAAAATAATTGCTAATTTTTACCCGAGTCTTCATTTTTATCTTCACTGCGTTGTTGCACTGCCGATTCTTCATTCTCTTCCTCCTCCTCCTCTTCATCATCTGTAGAATCAGCCAGGCGCTGGTAGCCTTCTGGACCACATTCCACATTACGGGACACACTTCTTCTACGTCTCCGCCTTCTCCTACGTTCCTCTGCTTGGCGTTGTGCCTCTTGGAAAGGGTTTTCCTAATATATCAAATGGACGAACAAACTATTACTGTACAAAGTAATATACAGTGCTTTTTCTCGGAATTCCCCCCAAATTCAGAAGAAAAGTTTAACCGAGATCCTCCAATTTAGAATACATTCTAAACATTAAGAAAAACTCTGAATTATCAGAAAATCACATCTATTTAATCTGGATTTGTTCCAAATATATAAAAATAAACTGAATTCTCAATCTGAGACATGAAAGCTTCCCAATAGGAGCAAAAATGCAGAAATTTAACAAAGAAAATCTTTCTAACTGATAATAATAATAATAATAATAATAATAATAATAATAATAATAATAAAATAAGAATCTAGAGACCGGGATCAGATTTTTATATTCTGGACACCTATGTGTATTTTTCTAAATACAGTGGAACCTCAAAAATTGAACGTATCACATATCGAACGTTTCGAAAATAGGACCATTTTTTCGGACAAACTGTGTCCCTATTATCGAACGCGCCCCTATTTTCGGATCGCCGGGTACGGGACCTGTCTGCCGCCCGCTCTGTCCGCGTCCCCGCGCAGGCGCCGTGAGCAGTCTAGCTTTGTTTATGCTTGAGTGAACACTAACCTGCACTCTCATTCATGCATTTTACGATTATTTCATTGTGTTTAGTGCTTGTGGGACTGTGAAATAAGCTGCCATGGGCCCAAAGAAACTTGCTAGTGGTACCCCTGTGGTAAAGAAAGTGAGAAACACCATAGATGTGAAGAAGGAAATAATACAGAAGTATGAGAGTTGTGTGAGACTTGTTGAGCTTGCCAGGATGTATGGGAAAAACAAGTCGACCATCAGTTCTATCCTGTCAAAGAAAGAACAAATCAAGGAAGCTGATGTTGCGAAAGGTGTTAATATAGGGAGTGGATAAGGTGCCTTCTTCAAAGATTAAGGAGATTTGCACCAAGTGGAATGATGTCAAAATGTTTGTGCAGAAGTACCACCCTGAGCAAGCTGAAACAAGCCATCTTTGCAACAAGTTCAGTGACAGAACCATGTCCCATTTTAGGGAAATGTTAAAGAGGCACCAGAAACAGAGAACTGTGGACAGTATTTTGTGAGACAGGGGTCCAGTGACTCTCAAGCTGGTCCTAGTGGCATTAAAAGGCAGAGAAGGAAAGTAACCCCAGAGAGGGCTTTACCTGAAGTCCTCATGGAAGGGGATTCTCCTTCCAAACACAAACCCCAATTCCCTCTCTCCTCCTCCCTATCTTCCAGATGCCATCACCAATCTTCAATAAAGGTAAGTAAAAATGTTATTTTATATGTATTACTATACATAATTAAAAACTATAGTATTTGTTGTATGAAAAACTGTAATTAATCTCTATAAAATGTATTTTTTGTGTGAATATTTTTGGGTTTCTGAAACTGATTAATTGTATTTCCATTATTTCTTTTGGGAAATGTTGCTTCGGATTTCAGACTTTTCGAATTTAGAACTAGCTCCTGGAACGGATTAAGTTCGATTTTTGAGGTTCCACTGTACAGTGGACCTCTGGTTAGTGATATTTTTTCACTCCAGAAGTATGTTCAGGTGCCAGTACTGACCGAATTTGTTAACATAAGGAATATTGTGAAGTAGATTAGTCCATTTCAGACCCCCAAATATACACGTACAAACGCATTTACATAAATACACTTACATAATTGGTCGCATTCGGAGGTGATCGTTATGCGGGGGTCCACTGTATATGATAGGATGCAAAATTGTATTAAAAAAAAATATCACAATAAGAGCTCGCTTTGCACCTGTTTTTTCTTCATACACCTAAGTATGGGTGTGCCAAAGTATGGATGTTTAGCATAAAATAATTAGCAATAGTTAAAAGTAATTAAACACTAGATAGGAATCAATCTCGTAAAAACAATACAGTGGACCCCCGCATACCGGACGCCTTGCATAACGGACAATCCGCATACCGGACGCTTTGATCGCTAAAATTTTGCCTCGCATACCGCCCAAAAACCCGCTCAGCGCCCTTCGTCCGAGACGCGTCCAATGTGCGGCCTGAACCAGCCTCATATGTTCCGCCGGTGGCATTGTTTACCAGCCAGCCTCCGCGGTAACATTCAAGCATACAATCGGAATATTTCGTATTATTACAGTGTTTTCGGTGCTGTTTCTGGAAAATAAGTGACCATGGGCCCCAAGAAAGCTTCTAGTTCCAACCCTACAGCAATAAGGGTTAGAATTCCAATAGAGATGAAGAAAGAGATCATTGATAAGTATGAAAGTGGAGTGCGTATCACCGACCTGGTCAGGTTGTACAAGAAACCCAAATCAACCATCTCTACTATTGTGGGCAACAGAAAGGCAATCAAGGAAGCTGTTCTTGCCAAAGGTTTAACTGTGTTTTCGAAACAGAGATCGCAAGTGATGGAAGATGTTGAGAGACTCTTATTGGTGTGGATAAATGAAAAACAGCTAGCAGGAGATAGCGTTTCTCAAGCTATCATAAGCAAAAAGGCTAGGAAGTTGCATGAGGATTTAATTAAAAAAAGGCCTGCAACTAGTGATGATGTGAGTGAATTTAAGGCCAGCAAAGGTTGGTTTGAGAGATTTAAGAAGCGTAGTGGCATACATAGTGTGATAAGGCATGGTGAGGCTGCCAGTTCGGACCACAAAGCGGCTGAAAAAATATGTGCAGGAATTCAAGGAGTACATAGAAACTGAAGGACTGAAACCTGAACAAGTGTTTAATTGTGATGAAACAGGCCTGTTTTGGAAGAAAATGCCAAGCAGGACCTACATTACTCAGGAAGAAAAGGCACTCCCAGGACATAAGCCTATGAAAGACAGGCTTACTTTGTTGATGTGTTCCAATGCTAGTGGTGATTGCAAAGTTAAGCCTTTATTAGTGTATCACTCTGAAACTCCCAGAGCGTTCAGGCAAAAGAATGTCCTCAAGGATAATTTGTGTGTGCTGTGGAGGGCAAACAGTAAGGCATGGGTCACTAGGGACTTTTTCTATAACTGGTTACACCATGCATTTGCCCCAATGTGAAAGATTACCTAACTGAAAAGAAATTAGAACTTAAGTGCCTCCTGGTGTTAGACAATGCCCCTGGTCATCCTACAGACGTGGCAGAGCGACTTTATGGGGACATGAACTTCATTAAGGTGAAGTTTTTTGCCTCCTAATACCACTCCTCTCCTGCAGCCCATGGACCAGCAGGTTATTGCAAACTTCAAAAAACTGTACACAAAAGCTCTGTTTGAAAGGTGCTTTGTAGTGACCTCAGAAACTCAACTGACTCTAAGAGAGTTTTGGAGAGATCACTTTAATATTCTCAATTGTATAAACCTTATAGGTAAGGCTTGGGAGGGAGTGACTAAGAAGACCTTGAACTCTGCTTGGAAGAAACTGTGGCCAGAATGTGTAGACAAAAGGGATTTTGAAGGGTTTGAGGCTAACCCTGAGAGGAGTATACCAGTTGAGGAATCAATTGTGGCATTGGGGAAGTCCTTGGGGTTGGAGGTTAGTGGGGAGGATGTGGAAGAGTTGGTGGAGGACGACAATGAAGAACTAACCACTGATGAGCTGATAGATCAACTTCAAGAGCAAGAGGCCAGACCTGAGGAAACTAGTTCAAAGGAGGGGAGAGAGAAATTGAAGGAATTGCCTACTACAAAGATTAAGGAAATGTGTGCAAAATGGCTTGAAGTGCAAACCTTTTTTGATGAAAATCACCCTCACACAGCTATTGCAAGCCATGTTGGCAACCTGTACACTGACAATGTTGTGAAACACTTTAGGGAAGTCATAAAGGAACGAGAGGTACAGGCCACTATGGACAGATATGTTGTGCGAAAGAAGTCCAGTGACTCTGAAGCTGGTCCTAGTGCATTAAAAGAAGAAGGAAGTAACCCCAGAAAAGGACTCGACACCTCAAGTCTTAATGGAAGGGGATTCCCCTTCTAAACACTAACACTCTCTCTCCCCTCCTCCCATCCCATCAATCATCACCAGATCTTCAATAAAAGTAAGTGTCATGTAATTGTGCATGCCTTTTTCAGTTTGTGTGTATTAAAATTAACATTTCATGTGGTAAAAATTTTTTTTTTCATACTTTTGGGTGTCTTGCACGGATTAATTTGATTTCCATTATTTCTTAGGGGAAAATTCATTCGCATACCGAACATTTCGCATAACAGCCAGCCCTCTTGCACGGATTAAGGTCGCTATGCGGGGGTCCACTGTACAAGGTAACATTTTATGGTGCATACAATTTTATAAATTGTAACTAAATAAGCAGGGTGGAGTACATGAAGAATAAGAGAGGTGAAGAGGGTGGTAAGGGAGCACAAAAAGAGAGGTGATAGAGAGGAGGTGCTATCAACAAATTTTGCTGAAAATAAGAAAATTTTGGAGATAAATAGGTTAACAAAAGCCTAGTGAACAAATGGATTTGACAATTAAAAACAGAATAGGGGAGTTAGATGGGGATTTGGAGGCATTGGAAAGATAGCAGGAATATTTTGAGGAAGAGAGGGAGGCAGTAATTTCATGCACTGGCCAGGGAGGTTTAACATCTTTTAGGAGTGAAGAAGAGCGGGATGTGCGTGTGGGGGAGGCGTGTGATCAGAAATTGGTAATCTGGCCAATTTCATACAAAATTCAAAATAAGCCAATTTCAAAATAACAGTTCAGAATAAACAATGAAGGCAATGTTTATTCTGCAGTGAGAACACAACTATAATCATCCAAAAATACACCACAAAGTTGCTATTTTCAACCAAAAACATGGTTGAAGTTTTTCTTTTCTCATGCACTGCGTGGGGTAGGATTATTTTTGTGGTGCACACCTTCTGCATCGACTCACTCTCTCATATTTAGGGCCAAATTTACTACTTGCAGCTTATCTCAGTGATCTGAGCTCATGGTATATAACTATGGTACGGACACTGGCTTCAAAGCCGTAGAACTATAGCATGGACCCTGAAAGGGTTAATGAAGCTGGAATGAGA